TCTTGCCTTACATCGTGTGGAAATTCAAATAGTGTTGGGCAAGAAAGTTTTTTTTTTTTTTAATAAACTGTCCAACCATGTGCTGACACGTGGCAAAATGTAAAAAATGATATAAAACAAGATGTATATGTAGCATGATTGGTATGTAAAACTGTGTCTGCACTATATTTGATATTTTTAAATCTCTCTCTTTTTATGGATTTCAAGTGTCCCGCTCTTAGGCTAATAAAAATTTGAGCTCCCAAGAATGCACGATAAATAGGTAGGCAACGTTTGCAAAGAGAAGAGATATGGGCCGCTCAAGCAAGCCTTTCCTCTCCATTCTCATTGTCTTCTCTAATCTATGTTTTCTGCTGCTTATGCAGTAGTTCAAACATGCTCAGAACACTTGACATATAAAAAATGCAGATATGGTTTTACAGGGAGACAATAAATTTAGCCAAAGATTTTGAGTGAAGTAGCTGTGCGAGCCAACTAATTTGTAATGATTCCATTATCTTTGGCCCCGAGTTTATTCTTGATTTCTTTTTTCTGTTGAGTATTTCCATGATTGATGTCATTTAAATTATATTCCTTAACATTAGCCAAGAGTTGAAGAATCTAGTGAGTGATAAAAACTCATAAATATACACGTTGTTATAGAAGTACACAGAGATCATGGTTATGAGGAGAGAGTAGATAACACGACATATAGGCAGGTGATTGTTTGCAAAGAGAAGAAATGGGGTGCTCAAGGGAGCCTAAGAACTCTCCGTGCTCTCATCATGCAAGCTCTCTCTGTTTTTCAGCAGTTCAAACATGCTCAGAAGACTTGGATGGTATCAAAAATGCAGTTACGATTTTGCTAGCAGCCAAGCAATTCAAATTAGCTATAAGGAGTTTCTGAAGTTTAAATGAAAAGACACGTCACTAAAACGCTATCGTAGTTAATGATATTGAGAGAAGTAGAAATAAGGACCTAGAGTTAATGACTTTCAGCATCTTGAGAATCAACAAGAGATTTAAAAGCATTGTAGGTCTACTAGGACATATATTATACTGGATCAGCTTTTTTATCTAAAAACAATGGGGAAGCTGAAACTTGAGGCTAATAAGGCTTTTGAAAGGAAGATGGAAACACTAATGGCACGAGTCACATCCAGCAATCCTAGGAGGTGGTGAGACAATTAGTACATAATGCAATTCTATTTAGCAAGTAGTATATAATCCTGTTAAGTTCTAGCCAGATTATTGCTTTAACTGATATCCCAAATGAGAATTTCTTTAGACCCTGTGTGGATGCAAATTTCCCCGGTAATAGTCCTGCCAACTGGATCAAGATTTTTTGTGGTGATTATGAAGGTTGAACCCCCAACCTTGAGGGCCCCCACCGACCCTGCCCTGGACCATTGTGGAGGAGGTAAATCGCAGGATGTGCCTCCCAGGAGCCAGGGTGGAGAGCTTATGGATAGGCCTGGGCTATTAACCCTATGGTAACTCCCGCTTGCAACAAAGCCAATTCCACCTTGCGGGGAATCGAACT